ACTATGGCAATAAGTGATTAAAATCATTAGACAGCAATAATGGGACATTTATGGAGTCCTTACTCTGGGCTGGGCCCCACCCTAAGCACTCTGTATGTGAATTAAGACAATTAATTATCTTTATTTTACAGACGAAACAGAGGAGCCAAGAGCTTGCCCGAGGTCACACGGCCAGGAAGCAGCAGAGGCAGGACTTGGCTGTGGGTATGTGGCCTGAGTCTGCCCCTAACGACCACTCTAGGCTGCCTCCCGGCTCCTCTGAGAGGTGTGTGAAAACAGGAAGAATGGCTCATTGCATGTTTGCATTTTATGTCAAGGAATTCCTTCCCAAGCCTTGGTAGACCACCGTGTTTGTAAGGAGTAAGTACTGAGAGGTCCCTGGCATTCTGTGGGCTGAGCCCGTGGGTTCAACCTGAGCCAGACATGGCAGTCTGCTTTTACGGAGAGAACTCCAAGGCTCTGAGTAGTCAGGGAACAGGCTCGAGGCCACTCAGCCATCAAGGAGCAGAGCAAGGACCCACACGAACATCCATCAGCTGACAAGGCACGACCCGGAGCGGGTGCTCTGGCACGGAGGGTAGGTCACTGCTTGGGTCACCTGCGTCCCAGTCAGAGTGCCCGCTGCAAGTCCCAGCTACTCTACTTCCTATCCAACTTCCTGCTAACACACGTCCTGGGAGGCAGCAGGTGACGGCCCAAGAGCACCCGGGTCCCTGCCGCCCACGTGGGAGACCTAGATTGAGTTCTGGGACTCCTGGCTTCAGCCTGGCCCACCCCTGGCTGTTGCAGCCATTTGGGGAGCTAACCAGTGGATGGATGATCTCTGTTTTCTTTGTCTGTCTCTGGGACTCTCTGCCTTTCAAATGCAATTAAAATAAACATGAAAAAAAAAAAAAAAGAACAATCATCAAAAGAAAAAAAAAATCTGGGGGCCAGCCAGCATTGTGGCAAAACTGGCATCCTATATGAGTGCCAGTTGTAGTCCCAGCTGTTGGTTTCTGATCCAGCTCCCTGCTAATGTGCCCAGGAAGGCAGAAGGTGGTCCAGGCTTGGGCCCCTGACACCCACATTGGAAACCAGGTGGAGTTTCTGGCTCCTGGCTTTAGCCTGGCCCACCCCTGGCTGTCACAGCCATTTGGGGAGTGAACCAACAGATGGAAAAATCTCTATATCTCTCCTTCTCTTTCTATTACTTTGCATTTAAAAAAAAAGTAAAAAAAAAATAGTGCCTCCAGAAATAAAGCTCAAAGCTCCTTCATGCAACTGAAAATTTAATGAGCTAAGGGTAGGCGTTGTGGCACAGCAGGTCCACATCCCATATCCGAGCGGCTAGTTCCTGTGACTCCAGCTTCCAATCCACCTTCCTGCTAAAGTGTGTGGGAGGCAGCAGATGCCGGCCCAGGTACTTGGAGTTTCTGCCACCCACGTGCAAGACCCGGATGGAATTTCTGGCTCGTGGCTTTGGCCTGATCCAGCCCTGGCTTGTGGGCATTTGTGGAGTGAACCAGCAGACGGAAGATCTGTTATTCTGCCTTTCAAGTAAATAAACAAATAAATCCAAAAAATGAAAAAAAAAAAAAGCGTTTAGGGGCCGGCACTGTGGTACAGCAGATTGAGCAGCTGTTGGCCCATAGGAGCGCTGGTTCGTGTCCAGCTGCTCCACTTCCGAGCCAGCTCCCTGCTGATGTGCCTGGGAAGGTCCAGCACTAGGGCCCCTGCCACCCATGTGGGAGCTTCAGATGGAGTCTGGTTTCTTGGTTTTACCCCGGCCCAGGCCTGGCCATTGTGGCCATTTGAGGGATGAACCAGTGGATGGAAGATTCCAATCTCTATCTCTCCCTTTCTTACTGAAACTCAGCCTTTAAAAAAAAAAGTTTAAAAAAAAAAGTTTCTAAAAACATCAAGTAAGTTAGTCCATGGAAAAGCACCGAGCACCGTTCCTGGCACCTGCGAGGCCTGCGTGTCCATCACTGACTCCACCAGTGCCTCCCGGGCTGCAGACTCCGACCGGAAGACCACTCTCTCCACCGCAGCCCGCGGCCGGGAACGCTGGGCTAACGATCGATCTGCACTTCCCCTGGGGAACCGTAGACCACTCACAGCTGGAAGGAACCGCGGCGATGATCTCATCCCTGCCTGCATTTTTAGATGCGGAATCGAGTCCCAGAGAGGAAAAAGGTCAGACAGCAAACTCATGGCCGGACCAAGCCAAGGGCAAGGTTAGGCACGGTGCCTGGCACATGCAGCCCCCCAGGAGGGCAGCCTTTGACTGAAAGGCTGCAGGAAATCCTCCCCATGTTTCCCTGGTGTGGGCGCCACGGCTCCGGCCCCGCCAGAAAGCAATCAAGTATGATAAGCTATTAACCAGAAAGCAGGTCATGTGACTTCATTCCACCTCTGCTAAAGGGCTTAAAATGCTTGGGTGAATAGCCCGAGATTCATAAATATCCACTTCGGCGCTTTCTCGAAGAATTATTAACCAGCTCCCTCAAAACTGGAGCTTGGGCGTTCAAGGAGAAAAAGAGCTGGCGAGAGTGATTCCTTGGAAAAATGTCTCCGAGCATCGTCTGGGACGTCTTGCCGCTCTCCTGATGTTTGGAGGAAGGAGAGGAGGGAGAGAGAGAAAGAGAGAAAGAGAGAGAGAGAGAGCGAGAGAGAGCAAGGCATCGCCATGCAGGATGTCAGCTGAGAAAGCTGGCGGTGGAAGATGACAAACTTTCTCCACCTGGCGAGCTAGATGTCGCGGGGGGGGGGGGGGTGCGGAACTTAGAGAACTCTGGGAAAGAGTAAGGCAGAGCCCAGCCCCGATTCCTTCAGACCTCGGGAGGGTAAGAAGCTTGACCGGGGCGTGAGCATCTCCGGAGCCTGGTCCTGCGCAAGGACGGTGTGGACCTGTCCACCACCTGCCTTACTGGAGCCCCGGTCACCCTCCCAGGCGTGGAGCTGGCTTTCCTTTGCACACGGGGAGGTCTGGATCAGCTTTAACGGGAGGATTTGGGGGCGGGGAGAAAGAAGATTAGGGCCAGTCTTCAAACAGCAGAGCAGGGACAGAAATCCCTCTCTGAGCCACGCCTCTGGGCTTCGTGCTTCTCAGCGGAGGCTGAAACACAGGCCTGGTGAGCCTCAGGCCCCACGGCTGTGAGAAGCCGCCGCCGGCCCCTCTATCACTTTGGAACCTCTTCCCTCATTCCTCCCTTGCACAATCCAGGCGCCCGGGGATGGGTGATGCAGGCCTCCAGAGCCAGCTCCTCTCGGGATCCAGAAAGGAAAGTCCAAGAGAAGAGGGAGGCCACGCCCGGGGGAGGGGGATGTGACGCCACCTCCAGGAATGCGGGCCCACGCAGGTGCGTTGGCACCCGGGAACTTCCTTCTCAAAAGCCCTGATAAATCAGCACTGCTAGCAATAAAGCTCCGTCACCCCGCGGTGGCTCAGCGCTGCGGCCCTGCTCCCAGGGCAGGGAGGGCGAGAGCTGAGAACGCAGAATCCCAGGCCACGGAGCCTGGTCCAGGGGCCATCACAGTGCACGCCTGGGCGCCCCCAGGCCGTCCTGGGGGGTCGCCACGCCACATGCTCACGACGCCCAGGTGTTGCTCCTTGCTTCCCAGCCCACCGTGGGGTTTTCCAGAAGGAACGCGGCACGTGATGACATCACGGATGGCAGCTGGAGCGCGTGCTGCAGACGCGTCTCTCTCAATGCCGTGAGCACGGACAGACCTGACACACACGAACAACACGCTTTGGGCCCCTCTGCAGTAGTCTAGGGGGCTCTTGAGACCAAACAAGCCGAGAGCAGAGCCCCCGAACGAAGGCGAAGGGCGAGTTTCGCCTGCAGCTGCCCCTGGCCACGCGGGCGCGGAGCGGCACAGGTGTTTTCCCGCGGGGTGAAGAGGGCGGCCCTGCTCAGCGTGGGGTGGTTTCCACCTGCGCTTCCGCCCGGGCGGACCCACGGCTCCGGGGAGAGGAATTCCTCACCTTTGGACCCGGCTGGCCAGCAGACACCTCCCCGTCAGCTGGGCACCCGCCAGGGCGCGGCTCGGGAGGGGGCGGGGCCCGGGAGGGGGCTGGGGTCTAGGGGCGGAGGTCCCGAGGACGCAGGAGCAGCAGCACCCCAGGCATCTGCTCGCACAGGAGGTGGTCTCCACGGCATGCAGGGAGCCCCTTCGCAGGGCGGCAGGGCCCGGGGCTCCCGTCCGCGCCCCCCCCCAGGGCCCAGGCTAAGCGGGATCCGGAAACCCTGCGTGGACCCCCCCGGCGCCTCAGGCCCCCTCGCTCCCCCCACCGACCCCTGGGGACCCGACGGACGGGTGGGGGCGGGCTGCAGCCGCCTCCCGCAGAGCCCAGCCCACGGAGCCGAGGCGCTCCCTCAGATAACCGCGCAGAGGCGAAAAACCTGAATTTTGCGCACGAGAGTTGCGGCGGGACCCTAAAAACGCGAAAGGGTGGGGAAGGGGGCGTTGTGAAGGGCGACACAACCCAAAGTCACAGCAGGGCGGGGGCCGAGCAAGCCACTCGGTGCCTCGGCCACCGTTACGGCCGCGCGCCCAGTCCCCCGCACCGAGCGAGTGACCAGCGCGCGCCGAGCTGCGCCAGCCCAAGCGGCACCAAGTCCCGCGGCGCGCGCCCGCGCGTGCGCAGAAGGCACACCCGCCGGACTCCCTCCTCAGGTGCGCTTGCGCTTCCGGCCGGCCTTCTCTGGGCGGAAACTCGAGCTCCTGCGCATGCGCTCTCCAGCTCTCTGGCGGGGTCCAGAGAGGCGGCCCTGGGCTTCAGGTAATCCCGCCCCTCCCCCGCCGCGCGGGACCAATCGTGCGGCGGCGGGCGGGACTTTGTCGAGGGAGGCCCGCCCATGCGCCGCGCGAGTCGTGTTTCGATTGGTTGGCGCCGCGGGCGCAGGTGCGCGCTTCCTATTGGGTGTGGGCGGAGCGCGAGCGGCCGAGGCTGCTTCGGAGGCTGCAGGTGAGCGCGCGCACGCGCCGCGGCTCAGGCCCGGCTCGGGCGCGCGCGCGCGGGCCCGCGGGGGAGGTGGCCGAGAGCGAGGCTGCGGCGCTGGGAGCCTGCGCTCCGCCCTCTCCTCCTCCGCCGCCGCCGCCGCCGCCGCGGGCCCGCAGGCAGGGAGCAGCGTCCGCGCCCGCCGCGCCGCCAGTGCGCCCCTCCGTCCCGCCGCGTGAGCAGCCCGCCCCTCTGCAGGTGCCTGCGCGGAGCGCCCGGGCCGCGGCCGCCCTCCGAACCCGCGCGCCCCGCCGCGCACTCGCTCCCCGCGCGCCCGAGGGGCGGCCGGTGCCGACGAGGCCGCCGCGGGGCCCGGCGCTCGACATGAACCGCAGCCACCGGCACGGGGCGGGCAGCGGCTGCCTGGGCACCATGGAGGTGAAGAGCAAGGTGCGCGGGGCCGGCCTGGGCGGAGCGGCGGTCGGGAGGCCGGGCGCCGGGGGAGGCCGCGGGCCGAGCCTCGGGGGCCCGCGAGGGCGGGGTGGGGGCGCCGGCTTCTGGTTTCCGAGGTGGGAGCCGTGGGGCGCCCTGTCCGGGGCAGGGCCGGAGGCGCCCGGTCCCCCAGTTCGGGTTCGAGGGGGCGAGCGCCCTTTGGGTTGCTTTGCTCCCGGCCGGGCGGATTCCTGGGGAGCCCTGGAGCGCGTTTCGTCTGCGGATCAGCACCGGCACCCGCAGCGCGTGCGCTGGGGTCTCCGCGCCGCCGTCCGCTGCCCGGGTTCCGAGCTGGGCCCTGCTGGCGGCCCGGGAGTCTCGCAGGCCCCGGTCCCGGAGGCGGGCGGCAGGTGAGCAGGTGGGCTCCGCGGGCTGCGCCTGCCGCGGCTCGGCGCTCCTGAGCGAGAATAATCCAGGCCCTGGGCCGTGCCAGCCGCGGCGGCTCGGAGAGACCCGGCGAGGCCGGAGCGCGTTAGAGGAGAACAGCGGATCGGCTTCCACAGTCGCGAAGCCGCGTGGACGGAGGGGGCCGGGGGCACGGGGCCGGGGGGCGCCCGGCGGTCCCGATGGAAGGGGGCCGGGGGCACGGGGCTGGGGGGCGCCCGGTGGTCCCGATGGAAGCGGGACGGGGGCGCGGGGCCGGGGGGCGCCCGGCGGTCCTGACGGAAGGGGCCGGGGCGCGCGGCGGTCCCGATGGAAGGGGGCACGGGCCGGGGGGCGCCCGGCGGTCCCGTCCCGCGGCTCTGCAGCCGGGACGCGGCGGGACGATGGTGTTTGGGCCGGGCCGGGGTGGCTGCTGGTCTCGGCCACCGTCCTGTCGGCGGAGTGCGGTTGTGATCGCGGCGCGGCCTCCGTGGGCCCCGGCGGAGCAGGGCAGGGATTCACATCTCGGGTTTGTGGGAGTTGAGGTCAAGAAAAGGCACTTGTGATATTGCATCACTCAAAATTCCGCTTCCAGGCCGACCTTGGTAGCAAGTGGCAGGGAAAAAATGAGTGGAGCTAGTAGGTGCGCTGCTGAAAGAAAGCAAACATTTCCTCCCGGCGCGGGCTGGCGTGCCAGGCTCTCGCCGCCTCCTGTCAGCTGACTTGAGAATCTCCCACATACCTGAGGCCCAAACCTGGTGTTAGGTGTTGGCCTGCCGGTGTCCCGAGGCCTGCGCCGGCCACGAGGTGGAATCGGGGCGGCCTGAGACCACGCGCCGGGAACTGTGGTCCCGCGAGGATGGGCAGAGCAGTGAGGGCCCCGGCCACCCGTGCCCCTGCTTCTCGATGTCTGTTGTTGATGTGTTTACTTCTGAATGGGTTGAATAAGCTGTTTGTCCTCTTAAAAACCTCTGCTGCGGGAGATTTTTGAAGCACATTTTGCTTTGGTGCTGCTTCGGCTTTCTGGGCTCCTGGCGGCAGCCGTGGCTGCGGGCTTGGAGCCAGCACTGGAGAGCAGGCGGAGCCGTCTCAGGGTCCTCGGCCCCTGCCTGGACATCAGTAGTGTCGGCCGGATTATCTTGGCCTGGGAAGGGAAGAATGGTTACAGGTAATCAACATAGTGGACAGTGTCAACAAGCTGGTTGAATTCGTGATACCAGAAACCACGTGGCTTTTCTTTGGTAACTGATTTATCTCCCTAATTGTTTCTCTAGAGTTGGGGAAGTTCTCAGTACTGATGGAGGTGCCCTTTAGTAACCTTGGGACAGTCTTGGAGCCGGAACAGTTCCTAATTACTCACAGGCGAATAGGACATTAAAATTAAGTTGTCATTTCTAAAATGTGCCAGCAGATAGTGGGGGGCGGGAGTCTGACACATTGTGAATGGCTGGGAGGAACCAGGCCGGTTAAACAAAGCTGTGAATGGGTCCTGGAGTGGGGAATGGTTGCTTGAGTCTTGAGTCTGTCTCTTGGCAGCTCTCTTCGTGTGGTAAAAAGTTCTCTACCCTCTTGTTCTGCTGCAGGAAGCGTGACAGTTTCTCTAGTGTGTTTCCCCTGCCAGCATTTACAGAGGGCATATCTGACTTTGAAGCCATAGGGTTTCCCACTATTTTTATCAAATGAGTTAAGCAAGAGAAAAAGGTTGTTGAGCAAAGAATTCTCATCCACACACTCGAGCCGAAGCAGTGAAGCCCCTGAAACGTTAACCTCTCAGCTGTGAGTCAGGCTGAGTGATAACCCGGAGACGAATCAGGACGCAGCGGCCGCCTGTGCTGTGATGCCAGCCAGGGAATGGGGGAGAAACTGTGACTTCTGATAACATCATAGACTGGCTGATAGGAAGGGTGTTCCCTGAGTTTTTATTTGCTTTGAAACATGAAGGTGTGACCGAACTTTTTGAGAGCTTTGGATATGAGTCACCTTATTTTCTTGATGAATATTAGTGTTTATATTTCAGGAATGTGTTTTGCAAACTTTTATTTATCAGCAGCAAGAGGTGGTTTGGGTGAGTTCTAATTTTAACGTAAACCTGGTGAGTGGTGTTTAGGGCATAAGCAGAGCTGATGGGCTTTTCTGTAAAGCAGACAGTGCATCCAGATACCCAGTAAGGCCTCTGGGGAGCTGATTCAGCATGTTTATGCACTTCCAAAATGGCTAGGATTGGGGCTTTCTCTGCCTGATGCTACTGAGGTTGAGCTCCTACTATGTATTTCTTGCTAACAATATCAGATGTTTCCAAGGAAAACGAGTCCTGCGGTCAAACACCTGACCGTGGTGTTGACACCTATGTAGACTGTAGAGTGACAGGTGTCTGGTGTTGACACCTTGTAGACTGTAGAGTGACAGGTGACCATGGTGTTGACACCTTGTAGACTGTAGGGTGATAGCTGACCATGGTGTTGACATCTTGTAGACTGTAGAGTGACAGGTGACCATGGTGTTGGCACCTTGTAGACTGTAGAGTGATAGGTGTCTGGTGTTGACACCTTGTAGACTGTAGAGTGACAGGTGTCAGTGGTGTTGACACCTTGTAGACTCTAGAGTGACAGGTGTCTGGTGTTGACACCTTGTAGACTGTAGAGTGACAGGTGACCATGGTGTTGACACCTTGTAGACTGTAGGGTGATAGCTGACCATGGTGTTGACATCTTGTAGACTGTAGAGTGACAGGTGTCTGGTGTTGACACCTTATAGACTGTAGGGTGATAGCTGACCATGGTGTTGACACCTTGTAGACTGTAGAGTGACAGGTATCTGGTGTTGACACCTTGTAGACAGTAGAGTGACAGGTGTCAGTGGTATTGACACCTTGTAGACTCTAGAGTGACAGGTGTCTGGTGTTGAAACCTTGTAGACTGTAGAGTGACAGATGACCGTGGTATTGACACCTTGTAGGCTGTAGAGTAACAGGTAACAGTGGTGTTGAAACCTTGTACACTGTAGAGTGACAGGTGTCAGTGGTGTTCAAACCTTGTAGACTATAGAGCTGACAGGTGTCAGTGTGTTGAAACGTTGTAGATTATAGAGTGACAGGTGACTGTGGTATTGAAACATAGATTGTAGACTGACAGGTGACTATGGTGTTTTTTTTTTTAATTTTTTTTTTTTGACAGGCAGAGTGGACAGTGAGAGAGACAGAGAAAGGTCTTCCTTTGCCGTTGGTTCACCCTCCAATAGCCGCCGCGGCCGGTGCGCTGCGGCTGGCGCACCGCGCTGATCCGATGTCAGGAGCCAGGTGCTTCTCCTGGTCTCCCAAGGGGTGCAGGGCCCAAGCACTTGGGCCATCCTCCACTGCACTCCCTGGCCACAGCAGAGAGCTGGCCTGGAAGAGGGGCAACCGGGACAGAATCCGGCACCCCGACCGGGACTAGAACCCAGTGTGCCGGCGCCGCTAGGCGGAGGATTAGCCTAGTGAGCTGCAGCGCCGGTGACTATGGTGTTGAAACCTTGTAGACTGTAGAGTCACAGGTGTGCTGGGCTGCATCCGGAGAGCAGCGGTGGCCGTCCTGTGCGAGCCCCGGCAGCGGTGGCTGTCCTGTGGGAGCCCCGGCGGTGGTGGCCGTCCTGTGAGCCCCAGTAGCGGTGGCCGTCCTGGGAGCCCCGGCGGTGGTGGCCGTCCTGTGCAAGCCCCGGCAGCGGTGGCCGTCCTGTGGGAGCCCCTCACTCAGCTCCACTCCCCGTCGTGTGGGAAGCTGGTTCCGCTACCTTAGGCTCCCACCCCTGAGGAAGTGCCCTGTGAGGCCCACAGAGCTGTGAACCCTGCGTCTGGTGGCTGTGAGGAGGCCGCTACTGGCTGCTGACCAGGAGCCACTGCAGGACCGGGGCCGGAGTGGAGGGAAGCAGAGCTGAGCCCCAGAGCTGGCGTGTGTGGTCCTCGCTGCCTCCCTCCAGTAATCATGCTTTGTAGACAAGAACGTGGTCTTAATTCATTTCCTTTTTAAAGACTTATCTATGTGAAAGGGAGAGCAGAGCGAGGGAGCCGCAGAGAGGTCCTCCATCCGTGGGTCACTCTCTGAATGGCTGCAATGGCTGGGGCTGGGCCAGACCAAAGCCAGGAGCCAGGAGCTCCATCTGGGTCTCCCGCGTGGGTGCAGGAGTCCAAGCACTTGGGCCGTCCTCCAGTGCCTTCCCCGGCGCATTAGCAAGGCGCTGGATCAGAAGTGGAGCAGCCAGGGCTCAAACTGGTGCCCATATGGGATACTGGTGTCTCAACCTGTTGCACCGCCACTCCAGCCCCTAAAATTTTTTTGAGATAAGATTTTTAGTTTTCACTGTAGTCGAAGCCCTAATAGCTCTATAGAGAGTGTGACAGATAAGAAGTGGAGAGACGGTAGCGCAGTCCAGCAGGAGAAGCGGCAGGGCTGTACACAGTGGATGAGAAGACGCGGAGCCTCACGCATCCGGGTTTTAAGTCACAGCATCATTGAAACTATAGCAGCATCATTGCTGTCAGTTTGGCAACAACTTAAACGAAGTTGGACAGTGTATTTGCAGCAAGACTGATCCACACGGGCCTTTTGTTTTGTGTTGTGTTGTGGGACTGGGAAGCTTTGTAGCGGGCCGAGGCCTCCCTCTCCAGGGCCCGTGGGCCCAGTGGCGCTGTCTGCGTCGTCATAGAGAGGGCGCTGCGTCCTGCTGGGCCTCTGTCCGCAAGCACGCGCTCAGTGGCCTTGTTCCTGTGCGTCTGCTGATTCCTGCCCCATCCCGGGAGATTAGGTCCTCTGATGGACTTGGAGGCCGTGGCTGGAGGGCGGGAGGCAGACTTGAGCCCTCCTTTCGTGCCCTCTGACCTGAGTGGGGGGAGTCCGGGCTGCACGCAGGGTTTGCTTGAGCTGAGTCATGCCCGGGGCAGGACGTCCCTAGGGGGGCCTGGGTAGCTCAGGGGTGGAGCTGGGTCTCTGGGGGGAGTGCAGTGGGGAGGCGCCCCTGCAGGGTTTATCTCCCGGTGGTATTTCCCCGCCCCTCCCCCTCCCTGTCGTGTGTCAGACACCGTCCTGGTGAAGGAGATACGGTTATGCCTGCTGATTTTTCTGTGGTGTGCATTGTCGTCTTATGTTTACTCAGAATTAACACTTCATGCCTTGCGTGTTACACTTTTAGTTTGGAGCCGAATTTCGTCGATTTTCACTGGAAAGATCGAAACCCGGGAAGTTTGAGGAGTTTTACGGGTTGCTGCAGCACGTTCACAAGATCCCCAACGTCGACGTGCTGGTGGGCTACGCGGACGTGCACGGGGACTTACTGCCCATCAACAACGACGACAACTACCACAAAGCCGTGTCCACGGCCAACCCCCTGCTGAGGATTTTCATCCAGAAGAAGGGTGAGTGCGCTGCTGAGGTCTTCCCGGTGGCGGAGAGAACATTTCCTGCGGTGGCCTGCAAGCAGGTCCAGGCGTTTGTGACACTGCTGGTTCACTAAGTGTCTACGCTTCCCCGGGTGTCCTCCGCCCGTGTGTGTGTGTGTGTGTGCGTGTGTGTGTGTGCATGTGCGCATGCGGGGATTAGGGCTTTATCACTTCTTCACTTCATTGCCTGTAGGGAGCCTGGGGGAGGAGAGCTGGGGCTGGCAGCACCGGGGTTGGGAGGCCGGCGCCGGGCGAGCTCTGTGCGCCTAGCGCGCAATCGCTGCGTCTCGTGCACGTCCGCGTCGTCAGCTCTGCAGCGGTTCCTCCTCTCTCTCGGCCAGGGCGTTCCTCCTAGACGTGGCGCGGAATTAGCTGCCTACCCGAAATGAGGTGGCCCGGCTCCGGAGGGTGTAAACGCTGACCTTAGTCCCTGGCGGGGCCCGGCAGGCGTGTTCCCTGGCCCTGTGTGTGCTGCCTGCAGACGGGCGGGGGAGAATCTTGGCACTGGGGTCAAGGGTGAGGGGTGGGCAGCCAGCCCGAGGGCACTGCGCCCGTGATGAGACCACTGCAGTCTGGCAGTGTTTGTAAACCGACCCGGGGATCGCGTGGGGATTATCCTTGACGCTGAGACCTTCTTTCTCGTCCTTGATAAGCTTGTGCCACGCCCAGGGCTTTGCCACTGGCCGACTGGGTGTCTGCTTTTCTGGATTTGCAGAAATAAGCCCACCAACAAAGCAGACTTCTCAGAGTGGCTCTCTCTGTCCCTGGCCTGTTTATAGAAAACACGCTCTCACACACACACAATTAATTTCCCCGAGACCCCTGGGAAGGACATACCTGGCATTTAACAGGGGTGTGGTGGAGCCAGAGTATAATTGTAGGAAGGTTGATTTGTCTGTTCAGGAGGGGTGGGGGGGCAGAGGTCAAGGGAGCAGTGGTGGGAAGAGGGGAGGGAGGGCGGGAGCGAGCACCAGCCGGCTGCCTGCGGGCGTGCAGCGGAGCCCGGCTTCGTGGTTCTGAGCCCCGTGGCGGGGTTGGCGTCGGGAGCAGAGCGCGGACGAGAGCAGGGGAATTGGGAAAGAAGAGTGCAGGTTCAGTCCCGGGACGAGCCATCTTCTCAGGCTGGGGCGCTGAGCCCCGTGTGCAGGGGCCTGGGACTCGGGTGGGAACCTGGCCACCACCACTCCTGCAGTTCCGAGCAGGCGAGCGGGCGGCAGGGCAGCTATGTGTGGAATGCTGGGGAGGGGCAGGCCCAGGAGGGGAGTCTGAGGTGGCCGTGGGGGACAGCTGCCTTTGTGTGATGGCTGTAGCTTCTGTTCCACGTGGGGCTGCTGCGTGGCTCGCTTTTCAAACTACAAGCACCTGACGCAATGTTGTTGGGTACTCCCTTTGTTAGAGAGATGGTGAGAGTGGGTTTGGCCACCAGTGTTTTCTTACTGGAATGGTGACACGTGTGTGCGCGCGGGGTTAACCCTGGCCTCTTACAAGGGTAATGATCTTCTGCTGTTTCCTGTTAGGGTTTTTCTTTACTGTGTGGTATAATTTTTATTGAATTTTCAATTTTTTTAAAAGATTTATCTATGTATTTGTAAGTCAGAATTAGAGAGAGAGAGAAAGAGAGAGAGAGAGAGAGGTCTTCCATCCGCTGGTTTACTCCCCAGATGGTTGCAATGGGCGGGGCGGGGCCAGGCTGAAGCCAGGAGCTTCCTCCGGGCCGCCCACATGGATGCAGGGTCCCAACCTCCCGGGCCATCTCCCACTGCTTTCCCAGGTGCATCAGCAGGGAGCGGGATCAGAAGTGGAGCAGCTGGGACTCGAACCAGCACCCATATGGGAAGCCGGTGCTGCAGATGGCAGCCTGTACCGGCCCTAGACTTCTGGATGCTTTCGTGAGGGTCCTTGAAAAAGTCTGTGCAAAAATGGAATGAGAGAGAACTATTTTGCTGCAGGAGGTTTTTGAGATCCGTGCGGTTTTCCGTAATGGCATTTCCATGGACCTCTGATGTTTCTGTGAGAACAGATGCTTTCATTCCCTGTGGCGAAGATAAAGTCTCAGGACAGGTACACATGTGACTGCGGCCGGACACAGGGTTTGTCAGCCGGCTCAGTCCTGCTGGGGCTGGTGCTGTGGCTCAGTCGATTCGGCCGCGGCTAGGAGGCCAGCAGCCTGTGCTGGTGCCGATGTGAGGCCCAGCCTCTCCACTCCGATCCAGCTCCCTGCGACTGTGGCTGGGAAGGCAGAGATGGCCCAAGAGCCGGGGTTCCTGCGCCCACCCGGCCTGGCCCAGCCCCTGCCGTTACAACCGACTGGGTGGTGAACCAGCAGGCAGAAGGCCTGTTTCTCTGTCCTTTGACGCTGCCTTTCAAATAAATCTTTCAACAGAGAGGAAAAAATTGCAAGCTCTCGTGACTTCCCATCGCAGACAGAATGGAGTCCTCTCTGGTCGGCCGGCCGGCGCCTTCCTCCATGCCCCACCCCTCCCCTCCCCCCCTCAGACTGGGTGACTTGTTGCTCTTTCTGCACTCTGCGCTTGGCTTGCTTTTTCTTTTCTTTCTTTCTTTCTTTCTTTTTTTTTAATTTGACAAATAGAGTTAGACAGTGAGAGAGAGAGACAGAGAAAGGTCTTCCTTCCGTTGGTTCACTCCCCAAATGGCCACTGTGGCTGGAACTGCACCGATCTGAAGCCAGGAGCCAGGTGCTTCCTCCTGGTCTCCCATGCGGGTGCAGGGCCCAAGGACCTGGGCCAGCCTCCACTGCCCTCCCGGGCCACAGCAGAGAGCTGGCCTGGAAGAGGAGCAGTTGGGACAGACCCGACGCCCATATGGGATGCCCACACCAGCCCCATGCACTTGCTTTTTCTAAGACTTACCCTTGGCTGCCTCCTCTCAGCTCAGATCCCTTTGTCACAGGGGTCTGCGTTCCCTGGCTAAAGGGCCCCCCCCCACCTCTACCAGATTCCACCGGGAAGGCCTGGGGTTCGCCCAGGGAAGTGTGTGGGGGTCCCTGCAGCTCACTCTGGCAGACTTGGCTGCCTGGACCATTCCTGTTGGTACTTCAGTTCTTTCAAACAAAGCTGAGCCCTGATTTTATGTAAACCTTGGTGGACAGCAAATTCAGGAAACTAATAGGAAGCACGACATTGATATTGTTAGATTTTGCTGCTTAGTCACAATGCATTTTCTGTTTTCCAACTGGAATCAACAGGGCGGCAGTTAAACCTGATATGGTACCAAGGGAATTTTCTAAAAAACAAATTTCAAAGCCATTCTAAACTTCAAAACTATGCAGTCTTTCCAAATCTGAGATACTGCCCAGCAACGTTTCCTTAAACTAGAGACAAAAGATTAAATAGGTAAACAGTTTACGACGGCTGAGCTCCAAGATGGTGTCCCTGCGTACCTTGAAAAGTCATGTTTTATAACAATTTATTGTTAGAAAAACTCCATACTCTTCCTTCTTGGGCTGTGGTCATGGGAGCAAAAGCAAAACAAAAACACCTGATCTCTCTCTCTTTAAGATTTATTTTTTTATTTGAAAGTCAGAGTTACACAGAGAGAGAGGTCTTCCATCCACTGGTTCACTCCCCAGTTGGCCAAAACGGTCAGAGCTGCACTAATCCGAAGCCAGGAGCTTCTTCCGGGTCCCCCACGCGGGTGCAGGGGCCCAAGGACTCAGGCCATCCTCTACTGCTTTCCCAGGCCATAGCAGAGAGCTGATCAGAAATGGAGCAGCCGGGACCCGAACCGACGCCCATATGGGATGCTGGCACTGCAGGCGGCAGCTTTACCTGCTACGCCACAGCGCCGGCCCCAACACCTGATCTCTCACAAGTGATTTTCACCAAGAGGATGCCCAGGTCTCTGGGCAGCCCAGCCTCTGAGTTGCTAGAATTGACCCTGGCTCCCCTGGGACAGGGATAAGGCGCAGAGCATGGTGGTTCACTGTTTGGATTATTCCTGTGCACTACACAGTTCGAGAAAATATTTAAAGCTTGTACCTTAAAAAAAAACCCGGTCATTCCTGCGGGTTTGCACACAGCGGGGAGATGTAAATTCTTTGAAGTCGGGTGATCTCGCTCAGAAGCCAGCAGCTCTCGGCAGAGTCCCTGCACCGGCCTTGCCACGGTCGCCGTGCCCTGCCTGGGACAGATGTGTCTGCGTCTTGCATCTGTTTGGAGGCATTGGTTGGAAGCCCTCAGTAACAGCCTGCTCTCTGCCACGCCTCCCTGAGGCTGTGCCCCAGGAGACCCGCACACCTGCACTGGGCCAGTCAGGTCACCTTGTTGGTCTTGACTGTGCCTTCGATATTATTTTGTCAATGTAGTTTAAGGAATCATGATTTAATTTTAAATAGTCTGAGGAATATGCATTTAGTGGTAAGTTATAAAATACAGTTTAACAAAAGGTACTGCTCAGAAATACAAAAATAAGAAGGGGCCGGCGCTGTGGCATAGTGGGTAAAGCTGCCAACTGCAGTGCCAGCATCCCATGTGGGCGCTGGTTTGAGTCCTGACTGCTCCACTTCCAATCCAGCTCGCTGCTGTGGCCTGGGAAAGCAGTAGAGGATGGCCTGTGTCCTTGGGCCCCTGCACCAACACAGGAGATCTGGAAGAAGTCCCTGGCTTCTGATTGGCTCTCCTCCAACCGTTGTAGCCATTTGGGGAGTGAACCAGCAGATGGAAGACCCCTCTCTCCCTTTCTCGCTCTCTCTCTCTTTCTGCCTCTACTTCTCTATAGCTCTACCTTTCAAATTAATAATCTTAAAAAGAAATAAAAAAAATAAGAAGCTGGGGCTGCTATTATGTCGCAGTGTTAGGTGACACCAGTGTCCCATATCCGTGTGGCAATTCAGGTCCCAGCTGCTCTGCCTCCAGTCCAGCTCCCCACCCATGCACCTGTGGAAGGTGGCCCAAGTCCTTGGGCCCCTGCACCCACATGGGAGACCCAGATGGAGCTCCTGGCTTCAGCCTGGCCTGTCCCCAGATGTGTGACCCAGCAGATGGAAGACCTCTCTCTTTCTGTCTCTGTCTCTGTCTCCTTTCCCTCTGCCACTCTGCCTCTAGCAAATAAAATCTTTAAATAAAAAGATACTATGGGATGACATGTCAGAAGATGACACCGGTTGTCACCTGTGACACCCGTTTTCCCGTCAGTCACGAAGCCTCTCACAGCTCTGCTGTCACCACTTCCCGCGCTTGTCCGTCTCCAGGGTCCTGCGCCATCCCCTCGAGTCATGTCCGGCCTGCAGCCAGCGTGAACTTTACAGGAAAGCCCGGTGAGATGATCGTCACCGTCACCCGCTCCCTTCAAACCCTTGGTTTTCTTTCCCTTTGCCCTTAGGCTAAAGTCCTTGAACCCTCACACTTCCCGGGAGGCCCTGTTTGTCCAGTTCTCGCCGGCTGCCTCTCCCTTCCACCCTCCTCCGCTCTAGCTGCAGGCCCCGGCCTTCATCTGCCCCACCCTGGCTCTTCTGTGCCTGGAACCTGGCGTAGCTGGAGGAGCCCCACCTTACCCTGCCAGCCAGGCGGGGTCCCCGTCCGCACACGTCCCCCACCGGGGTCTGTCTGGGTAGTTCTTGGCACCTTTACAGTGATTTGATTATTTGACATTGTTAGCTGCCCTCTTCCTTATTTTTAAAGATTGATTTATTTGAAAGGCACAGTCACACACACAGGCCACAGACCTGCCATCCACTGGTTCACTCCCCAGATAGCTATAATAGCCGGGGCTGGGCCAGGCCCAAACCAGCGGCCTGGGACTCCTGGCCTTGCTGCCTTCCCAGGGACGTTAGCAGGAAGCTGGATCGGAAGTGGAGTGGCTGGGCCTCGAGTGAGCTCTGTGCTACGGGACGCCGGCGTCCCTGCTGCGCTCTCTGTGCCCTGCGGGGAAGCAGGCCGAGTGCACCCAGCACGCAGTGGGTGTTTATTAAGTAGCTGGTGATGGATTTTCTGCATTGGAGAACGGAGTGTTGCCGTGAGTGGTCGCTAATCCTTTTAAAGTTGCCAGCTCTGTTTCATTTAACTGTTTGGGGTTAGAACAAGTGCTGGCAGCCCAGGGCTCGCTGGCTGTTTCTGTAAGCGGAGTTTTCTTGGCGCGTACCCAGGCCATTCCCTGACGCGCAGTCGTGCGGCCTCTGCCTCGTGATGGGAGGGTGGTCAGCCCCTGGATTAGGGCGCTTCGGGAAACACCGCGTTCTTTGCTGGCCTCCTGGGCTTCAGGGGGAGCGTGACCTTGGCCCTCCCGGGCGCCGTGAGCTCTCCCCGCCGTGTCACCTCGCGGGGACCCAGCGGGGTTCCTGGAGGGCTCCGCGTTCTTCCAGGCCGGCGTTCTGTTCCCCGCAGGTCCACCCTCAGCCTCCGCTCGGAAGGTGCCACTTAGTGTCGCGCCGTGAGCTCGGGAAGGAGACGAGTGTTTTCCAGAATTACTGTCTGAAGTCAGGGGCTGGGAGGGAGGACAGCACAGCCGGTGTTCGTGTTGGAGAGGCCGCCGCAGGCCCTCGGCGTGGACCCTGTCTGCTCCGGTCAGCTGAGGGTGGGCACAGGGCAGGGCCCGCCTCGGCGAGCTGTGGGCCAGGCCTGAGTTCGCACCTGCGGAAGGCTCTGGGGAGCAGGCCGCCCGTGTCCGTGCGCAGGTGGGCGGTCGGCTCCCGCTCCTGGGGGCGCTGACCTTTGCACTTTAACACCCTGCACCCTGGCTCCCTGCCAGCGCGTGTCTTTTCCCAGTGGCTGGGAGCTGATTAGCTGGACGGGAGAACAAGGTGCCTTTGTGCTGAGCGCGCAGCTCTGGGGAATTCAGCGGGAGCCTGCGGAGCGAGCGCGGCTGCGGTGCCAGCTTACGCAGATTTGGGGTTTTCTGGTCAGGTTTCCCATGAGTAGGTATGTGGGCAGCTGCATTTGTTCTCAGTTTGTATGGTGTGGGATTTCCTTTACAAACGCGACACAGGCTTGCTCTATTGATTGTTTTAAAATAGAAATGTGTGTGATTGTGAAAAGACACATTCCTGATAGGCTTTGGGAAAATTTCCCCAGAAGAATCTGACATCCGTGGACAATGATGGGTCAGTGTTCTGTGTGTGGACGCAGTGTAAATACTCCAAGTCTGAGGACAGAGCGTCCCCAGAGCCGAAGTGGCAGCAGCCGAGGTGACCGTGCCGTGTGCATCTATCTGAGCTCGGTGTTCGTGCGCGTCGGGGCGCCCACCGCGTAGGGAAAGCTGGGTTCCAGCCCTTTCTCGTGCCTCCCTCTGTCCCCTCAGCTTCCTGCTCTGTGAAGTGAGGTGATGACCACTGACCAGGCGTGGCAGGAACGGAGCTGGCGCTGTCATGGGCGGGGCCGAGACAGGGACCTCAGGGCGGGGCTTCGGGGGACCTTGCATCCCCTCTTCTGGAAGTCTGGCTGCTGCTGTCATTTGTCCGCTGATTCTTCTTCAAATGGCTGCAGTGGCCACGGCTGGGCCAGGCTGAAGCCAGGAACCAGGCGCTTCATCCGGGTCTCCCACGTGGGTGCCTGTTGTACCTGGGCCTCCCTCTGCTGCTTTCCTAGGCCAGTAACAGGGAGCTGGATCAGAAGTGGAGCTGCTGGGACTCGAACAGGAGCCCGTCTGCGATGCCAGTGCTGCAGGCCGCAGCGCCGCCCTGTTATCCTTGGAAATGCCACACTTCCGTTCGTTAGGCCAGTTATTTCTGAAAATACGGCTCCAGCATTTACTTCCGCTGCGAGTTGTGCCTCCCTGTTCCCTTCTCGCGCTCTGCTGAAGTGTTCATGATCTAGCAGCACCGGGGTCGGCGGCTGCTTCCCGCTGGATTCAGCCCTGGTGGTGGTGTTGCCGGTGCGGAATGGGGAGATTTCTCCCAGGAGCGGGGCCTGCTGGGCGGCGGCCGTGCCCCCCTCAGGGAGGTGCTGGGGCTCCAGGTCGCCAGAGCCCTCACCCCTCGCTTGTGAAGAAAACGGTTCGAGTCCTACACCTCTGCCTCTTTCAGAAGTGGGAAACGAGAGGTTAGGACCATTCCCCAGGAAACCGAGGGGAGGGAGAGGGTCTGTTTGCGGAAAATGAAGCCCCTCGTTGTCCCCATGCCCCGCCCTGCTGAATCCCCCCCCTCCCCCGCGGGCCCCCGCCCCGCCCCCGCCCCGCCCCACACCCGTGGGATTCTGGTCTCCTGACTTGGGAAGCAGGTTCCGAAGCTGACGAACATGCACACTGGGGGCTTGTGGAACAAGAACGTTTTTAGTGGCTGGTAGAAAATGATGTTCGGCAACGTGTTTGTAAAATCAATTTAATTTTCCATAAATGGGCTTTATCCCATTTAAAGTCAACGTTTGGTAATGCTGGGACGTGGGCTGGAGAGCGCCACCTTGTGGCATTTGGTGGTATGGCAGTCTTCTGGGCTACAGCGGGATCTCAGTAGGAGAGCACCTGCATGGGGCCGGGTGGGGTGTGTGTCAGGTGCGTTTGGGCTGTCCCTCTGTCCAGGATCAGCTCAGACCGGTGAGTATCTTTGCAGCCTTTGTGTAATGCTGTCTTGTCTTTGAACAGAAGAAGCAGACTACAGTGCCTTCGGGACAGACACGCTAATGAAGAAGAAGAACGTTCTCACCAACGTGTTGCGGCCTGACAACCACAGGAAGAAGCCGCACATCGTCATCAGCATGCCCCAAGACTTCAGGCCCGTGTCGTCCATCATAGACGTGGACATCCTGCCAGAGACGCACCGGCGGGTGCGCCTGTACAAGTACGGCACCGAGAAACCCCTGGGCTTCTACATCCGGGACGGCTCCAGCGTCAGGGTGACGCCGCACGGCCTGGAGAAGGTCCCGGGCATCTTCATCTCCCGGCTCGTCCCCGGGGGGCTGGCCCAGAGCACGGGGCTTCTGGCGGTCAACGATGAAGTCCTAGAGGTCAACGGCATAGAGGTTTCGGGGAAGAGTCTGGACCAGGTGACAGACATGATGATCGCCAACAGCCGCAACCTCATCATCACCGTGAGGCCGGCGAACCAGCGGAACAACGTGGTCAGGAACAGTCGGACTTCCGGCAGCTCGGGCCAGTCCACCGACAACAGCCTCGCCGGCTGCCCGCAGCAGGCCGAGCCCAGCTTCGAGCCGGAGGACGAAGACAGCGACGAAGACGACATCGTCATCGAGGACAACGGGGTGCCGCGCCAGATCCCCAGAGCCGCCCCGCGCGCGGCCGGCAGCCTCGAGTCGCTCACGCAGATCGAGCTCAGCTTCGATTCCGCGCAGAACGGGTTCCTTCCTCCTGCCGAGGTGGGCTCCGCGTCCGTGGCCAGCGGCACCTGCACGGAGCCGCGCGCCCCGGGGCAGAGACTCCTGGAGGAGGACGGCACGATCATCACGTTGTGAAGCCGAGTGGGCCGTGTGGGGCTGCGCGGCCGGCCGCTGCGGTGAGCACCTGCGCGCTGTACCGCCGGACCGGCGCGGACGGACGGACGGACTAGCCGTAGCCGGAAGAGAGGCTGCAGCTGGGACGTCACTGAAGTGGCGGCCTGCTGACTGTTAGGCGGACTCCGCAGAGGGGAATGCAAGTCAGAGGGGCCTTTGCTGGGGCAGGGACACGTTTGCTGTTCTGTGTACGGGAGCTAGAGAGAGCACACTGGGGCTGGGGGTCAGCTCCTGGGAGAGCACACTGGGGGCCTGGGTCAGCTCCTGGGAGAGCACACTGGGGCTGGGGGTCAGCTCCTGGGAGAGCACACTGGGGGCCTGGGTCAGCTCCTGGGAGAGCACACTGGGGCTGGGGGTCAGCTCCTGGGGAGAGCACACTGGGGCTGGGGGTCAGCTCCTGGGGAGAGCACACTGGGGCTGGGGGTCAGCTCCTGGGAGAGCACACTGGGGGCTGGGGGGGTCAGCTCCTGGAGGGAGCTCTCTGGGAGCTGGGGGCCTGGGTCAGCTCCTGGGAGAGCACACTGGGGGCTGGGGGTCAGCTCCTGGGGAGGGTACGCTGGGGGCTGGGGGCTGGGTCGTCTGTCTGGCGTGGTTGCGTGTCTAACCTGCTGTGTGGAGTCCCATCCTCCCCCCTCGTGAAGTCCGACTGCGTCTCAGCACACGACGGCCTCCGCGCTGGTGCCCCGACTCTGCACCGTGCTCTTCCTTCGTGTTGCGACGCTGTGTCCCACGTGCGTTGTTTTTCCTGATTTAAAGAAACGTCCGAGCAGTCGGCCCGCAGAGGAGCTTCGAAGCCACGCTCCTGAGCTGAGATGGCAGTTGTGGGGTCGGGGCTGTCCCGTGGCTTCCATGTCTACACAGTGGCCCCTCCGCGTGGGGTCTGTGTTCTCAAAGGCAGTGCCCTTGGCCGCAGCAGCACGGGGCTCTGCTTTGTCACCCGTTCTCGTCCTCACGCCCGTCTCAGTGTGTGTGTGCGTGTTGCTGTCATGCATTTGTCCTCTTAATGTATTCGAGTGGTATGAATTGTTTCGGATTAAAAAACGCACCCAGATGAGACTCTCTTACACACCGGACAAACTTGTGCACTTTTTGTACAAAATGTAGGTTTTTCTTCACGAGCTTCCCGGGAACGCTGCCGGTGCTTAGGGAAGTCGCGTTGCTCGCCTGCGGCAGGCAGGGTTTGCCGCGTTGACTCAGGCTGGCATCACCGTCCGGCGCGTCCACGCACACGAGCGGGGGCGCCGAGTGTGCTGGCGGCCGTGGGCTCCTGGCGGCTTGTGCGGTTATTTATTGCTCTTACGATAGGACTGCTACGAGTCCCTTCTCACGGGTGCGCTGTGAGACGAAGGTTCCAATGACTCCGCTGTGAAGGATGCTGTCCTCGGTGAAGCTGTGAGGAAGCGAGGTCTCGATGCGACGCCCGCGCGTGTTCTCGCGAACCCTGCACCGCGCGCGGGTCCCGGGGCTCCCAGCGGCGTTCCGGCCCGGACGTCGGAGGAGCCCCGTGAACTTGACTCTCGAACGGTGAATCGCGTTCGATGCAGGAGGCTGAATTTCATTTATAATTTAAGTGGTGCAGGGGTTCGGCACGTTAAGTAAAATCCTTTTACACACTACCTCTTTCTCTCTTTTTTTAAACAAAGTTTTAACATCAGAGCCTTTCTTTTGGGGAACAGTACTTCAGGGCTTGACTTCTGTACCAATTTTATCTGTACAACACGATTTCCCTGCGTGTGCTCCCTCCCGGGAGTGGACAGCAGCCCCGCCTGCTCGTTCCCGTGAGGACCCTGTTGGCCGTGTCTGCTCTTGTCACCCAGATCTTTGTCGGTCTAATCGTTGGTGAAATAATTGATTATTAGACTTATTGTGAAGCCAGTAGACCTCGGTTAAATGGTAAAACAACAATGTATCGGTAGTCTGAATCAATTATTTCAAATGCACCTTATTAACAAAAGTGTCAGTGGGTCCAGTGTATAAGTTATAGTTCTAAATGTCAAGCCTAACTGTGAATTCTGTTCTGTTTCTTAAGTTTATGATAATGTTCTCAAACCGTCAACAAAATATATGTACTTTTGTGAACTATGAATTTTCTAATTAAATTTTACATGCTATAACATGATTTTTACATGAATGATACTTTAAACTATCAAATGTCAGTATTTTACTACAATTTTATTATAAAATGTACATTACCACTAAATGAACTTTGATTTAAAAAATCAAATTAGCTTTAGTTGTGTATTATTTTTTACAAATAAAGATAGACTTGTATAAAGGCTACTCTCTTGTTTGAAATTATATCAAAAGTTGGCCGGCACCACAGCTCACTGGGCTAATCCTCCGCCTGCGGCGCTGGCACCCCGGGTTCTAGTCCCGGTCGGGGCGCCGGATTCTGTCCCGGTTGCCCCTCTTCCAGGCCAGCTCTCTGCTGTGGCCAGGGAGTGCAGTGGAGGATGGCCCAGGTGCTTGGGCCCTGCACCCCATGGGAGACCAGGAGAAGCACCTGGCTCCTGCCATCGGATCAGCGCGGTGCGCCGGCCGCAGCGCGCCGGCCGTGGCGGCCATTGGAGGGTGAACCAACGGCAAAAGGAAGACCTTTCTCTCTGTCTCTCTCTCACTGTCCACTCTGCCTGTCAAAAAAAAAAAAAAATTCTATGACGAGCCAGCCCAGCAGACCTCGGGAAGCACCCACCGTATAAGCCGTGCAGGCAGGAGAGCGCTCGGGTGTAACACGATGGCTCCTTCACTTCTCATTGTTAAAAGCTGCACAGCAAGTTTGCGTTACTGGAAGGTGACGCTCACGACGCCTTAATTGTCGGGGCACTGAGGCCCAGTGGTTTAAGCCACAGCTCGGGACGCCCACAGCAGTGCTGGTTCAAGCCCTGGCTATGCCACCTAGGGTCCAGCTTCCCCCTACTGCTTCCTGGGACGCAGCCCATGCTGGCTCCAGTCCTTGGGTTCCTGCCACCCCATGGGAGACCCAGATGGAGTTCCCTGCTCCTGGCTCCGGCCGGACCCAGTCCTGGCTGTTGCAGGCGTTGGGGGCTGAGCCAGCGGATGGAAGATCCGTCTCACTGTGCTAAGTAGATGCAGACCGGCATTTTATAAAATGGTCACAGTGTGGTTGTGCAAGACTGTGATACCTACCCAACCAACGCTGCTAACATTGTTCGAGATTGTTAGAAAAAGTCGTCAATACTGACTTTAAATAAATCTTTTTAAAAAGCCAAAATTGCATACTGATGACAGGGACCTGTGCCTGACTTCTGGGGAGGATCCCTGGCTATCGGGGGGACTCGTCTTCAGTCTGGGGTGGGCCTTTGGAGACGCTCAGAGTTTGGCTCCGTCTCCTGACGCCAGCCGTCTGCTAGGGCAAACCTGGAAGGCAACAGAGGAGGACCGGATAGCTGGGTCCCTGCCACGCGCCTGGGAGCGCTGCACTGAGTTCCTGGCTCCTGGCCTTGGCCCCCGCCCAGCTCTGCCCGGCGCAGGCATTTGAGGGGGTGAATCAGCAGATGGGAGCGCTCCCTCCGGCTCGCAAATTAAAAAAGAAAAAAATGATTTCAGGATGCACCGTTTGCAAAGCTGTGAAGCGCTTACTTTCCACTTGAGACATCTGCCTGGCAGAGACGAGTCGATTGTCCCTCGAGGGGAGAAGCCAGCACTTACTGCTCGCTCGCCTTTTAAACTCGGATGTCACATCCAGCCTGGAGCAGAGCTGCCCCTCTGCTGACACCCACACTCGCTGTGCCTGTGTCACTGCCGGGTGACACCCACACTCTACCTGTGTCACTGCCGGGCGACACCCACACTCGCTGTGCCTGTCACTGCCGGGTGACACCCACACTCGCTGTGCCCGTGTCACTGCCGGGTGACACCCACACTCGCTGTGCCCGTGTCACTGCCGGGTGACACCCACACTCGCTGTGCCTGTGTCACTGCCGGGTGACACCCACACTCTACCTGTGTCACTGCCGGGCGACACCCACACTCGCTGTGCCTGTCACTGCCGGGTGACACCCGCGCTCGCTGTGCCTGTGTCACTGCCGGGCGACACCCACACTCGCTGTGCCTGTGTCACTGCCGGGTGACACACTCGCTGTGCCTGTGTCACTGCCGGGCGACACCCACACTCGCTGTGCCTGTCACTGCCGGGTGACACACTCGCTGTGCCTGTGTCACTGCCGGGTGACACCCACACTCGCTGTGCCTGTGTCACTGCCGGGTGACACCCACACTCGCTGTGCCTGTGTCACTGCCGGGTGACACCCACACTCGCTGTGCCTGTGTCGCTGCCTCCTGAGCTGTCCGAGAGTTGCCCTTTGCCCACTTGGACTTCAGGTCCTGTGAACAGGAAATTCTCTGAGGAGTCTCCAGAAAGTTCTTGGACGCGGGTGTTACGGAGAGCTGTGCGGGGCTGGCTTTCCAGGTGGTCTCAGCCCCTGCCCCGGGGAGCTCCCAGGACAGTCCTTTCTCCTCAGCACCACGTGGTCTCCCTGGCCGGAGAACACTGAGCAACAAAACCTTCTCTCTCTCTTTTTTTTTTTTTTTTTTTGACAGAGACAGAGAGAAAGGTCTTCCTTCCATTGTTTCACCCCCCAAATGGCCACTATGGCCAGCGCTGTGCAATCCAAAGCCGGGAGCCAAGTGCTTCCTCCTGGTCTCCCATGGGGTGCAGGGCCCAAGCACTTGGCCCATCCCCCCACTGCACTCCTGGGCTACAGCAGAGAGCTGGACTGGAAGAGGAGCAACCGGGACTAGAACCCGGGGTGTTGGCGCCACAGGCAGAGGATTAGCCAAGTTAGCCGCGGCGCCGGCCCAAAACCTTCTCATCCTCCAAGGCGGCCGGGGGCCAGGTGGGCTCCCCAGGCTGACAGCACTGAGCAGGAAAACCTGGGGAGCAATTTTTCCTAATTTACACTCAGCAAACCCTTTGTCCTGGAGGAGGAGGGGGAGAGGAGAAACCAGGACCCCTTTTCCCTTATCAGCCCCAGACCAAGACCGAGCTCTGGCCCCCTCGGCCTGGCTGGGCAGGTGTCCTCTGTTTGACCCTGCGACCTTGCTTTCCCCAGTCTGAGCGACTGGACTGGGTTCTGCCCCTTCCTTTCTGGTGGATGCCCTACCCCGGGAAACCTTGCTACTTTGTCTCACGCCTGAATTCTTTCTTTCACAAAGACAAGGACCCCACTACTCCTCTCCACTAACACTTGGGCCTGCCCAGTTCCCCCGCTGCAGCCTGAGTGGTCGCCCTGGGGTTCCTGTGCACGTGAGTGGGGGAGGCTCCCAAGTCCAGCCCTCTCCTCTCGCCTTCATCCCCAGCAAAACTGTTTTTTAAAGATTTATTCATTTACTTGAAAGAGTTAGGAGAGGTGGAGGGAGGGAGGGAGGGAGGGAGAGAGAGAGAGAGAGAGAGAGAGAGAAGTCTTCCATCCTCAATTGGCTGCAACAGCCAGAGCTGCGCCAATCCAAAGCCAGGAGCCTCCCCTGGGTCTCCCACGCGGGTGCAGGGGCCCAAGCACTTAGGCCATCTTCCACTGCTTTCCCAGACCATAGCAGAGAGCTGGATTGGAAGTGGAGCAGCCGGGACTTGAACCAGCACCCATATGGGATGCTGGCACTGCATGCGGCGGCTTGACCGGCTACACCACAGCGCCAGCCACCCCCAGCAAAACTCTTTAACAAGGCAGGCTTAGAATTACTTCCCAGATTCCCGGAGATGTAGGAAACACCTTCACCAACTCCTCCTGCGTGTGCTTTTGTATTAATTCACTCGGCAAGAGTGGGCTTCCCCTGCAGCCCCCCCGCCGTGTAAGCCACTTCCTGAAGGCGTGGGGTCGGGTCCCAGTAACTGCCCACACCAGTCACCGCTGGTGCGCCTCTGAGAACTTGGGGCTGGCCAGACTCCGGCTGCCAGGGTGCCCACAGATGGTATCAGGGCAGCATTCCTCTCCGCCCGTCTCCTAGCAATGCCTGAAAGACGAGGAAACAGCATTCCCATCGTCCTAAGACCTAGAGCAGGCTGCACGCAGCTGAGAGGCAGGACGCTCCTGCAGGAGACCAGCTGGGCCCCCAGACCTCTGCGCCGGGCCTTCAGCGCCCGGTGCATGGTGACCCGCGCCCAGGTCTCTGCTGTCAGTCTCGGGCTCTCCAGAGTTCCCAGAGGCGGTCAGCTGCTGTCCCGGGTATGTACCCGAATGCACTCAGGCAAAAATATGTATGCTCAGTGATTCAGATTCTAAATCATTAACTTGGTAAACACCTGCGAGCCGAGTGAAGAGGGCTCAGGGCGCCTTTGGAATGCGCGCGGGGACAGCCGGGCGCCCAGCACCTCCTGGAACCACAAAGGCGCTCAAGTCCGCCCTCTGAGAGCGACGTCCGCTACAACCGTCTGGCCGCACACACAACGCCCACTGCTGGCCCGCGGGTCTTCACCCGGGTCCACGCACGCACGCGCGCGTCTGCCGCACCTGCACGTGCAACCAACACCTGTGGGCGCCACCTGAACACGGCCCTGCGCTCCGAACTTTAAACCCCCGGTGGGTCGGGAGACAGCCACGAGGAACGCCGGCGACCTGGCGGCGGCCCCCGGGCGGGCCGGGCTTGCCTTCCCAGGGTCCCTGCCCAGCTGCCGGCTCCCCACGCGCCCCTGCCCTGGCCGCGGGACTCCGGCTGCTGCCGCTCGTCCCCGGCCTCCGCCGCGGCCGTGCCTGCCCGCCGGGGCGCAGGGAGGGTGGCAGGCGGGCGCTGCTTTCCTCCCGTGCCCCTGCGCTCGCCGATTGCGGTGAAACCCGTGCGGTGACGCCCGCAGCCGGAATTCGCTCGCGTGTGGGTGCGCGCTCCAGCCCCGCTCGCGCCCCCGCAGACCGACTTTCCCGCTGGTTGCTCCTCCCCCACCCCCCTCGCTGATCTCATTCCTGGGTGTCGTTTGCGTGGGCTGCGGTCCAGCGGCGCCGCCTGGATTCAGACGCCCGAAGTGCTTATAAAGAATAATCTCGCCACGGAGCCTGCGTGCTCCCGGAGGGAACTCAAAAAAACAAAACAAAACAAAACAAAAAACAGAGAAAAAACTACTGTAACAAAACCACCAATCGGTGACAGCCACTCCAGGTTTTCAGGACAGATGCACATCAAAAATGTATTTTCTTAAAGATTTGTTTTATTTATTTGAAAGATACAGTTAAGGAGGGAGGTCTTCCATCTGCTGGTTCACTCTTCAAATGGCCACAAAGGCTGGGACTGGGCCAGGCCAAAGCCAGGAGCCAGGAGCTTCTTCTGGGTCTCCTGCGTGGGTGCAGGGGCCCAAGCACTTAGGCCATCCTCTGCTGCTTTCCCAGGTGCATTGGCCAGGCGCTGGATTGGAAGTGGAGCTGCCGGGATTTGAACCGGCATCCATGATGCAGGCAGCTGCTTACCCTGCTGTGCCACAGTGCTGGGCCCTTAAATTCTTTTCCGTAAACGTTTCTCCCCTCAATGTTATAGAATTATCAGGGCAGGCATGGTGGCCCCCAGGTTAAGCCGCTGTTGGGTTTTGCCTGTATCCCAGACTGGAGAGCCTGGGTTTGGGCCTCCGGCTCCTCTGCCTCCGATCCAGCTCCCTGGGAACGCATGTCCCCGGAGAGCAGTGGACGATGGCTCGGATGCTTGGCCCCTGCCATCGTGGAGGAGACCCGGGTGCAGTTCCTGGCTCCTGGCTTCTGCCTGGTCCAGCCTTGGCTATTGCTGACATTGGAGAATGAGCCAATGGATGAAGAAGGATCTCTCTCTCCCTCCCTCTCTCTCTCTCTCTCGCGCGCGCGCGTTCTCTCTCTCTATTTCTCTGTCACTCTGCCTTTCAAGTAAATAAAAATGCATGTTTGTTGGACCAAATCCTCCTTATCCATTGATGTACTTGGGATCCATCCCCTAATGTCTGCATTGTGAGCTTTGCATTTTAGTAGCTCCAGCCCAAGTTCCTCCCACAATGGCCCTTCAATTTTTAAATAAAATTAGCTATTCAGATGGTTCATAAATTCACATGGGTCACACAGCAGAATGGTTCCTAAAAAGTATATGTTGAGGGGCTGGTGCTGTGGTCTAGTGGGTAAGGCCACCACCTGCAGTGCCAGCATCCCATATGGGCACTGGTTCGAGTCCCAGCTTCTCCACTTCTGATCCAGCTCTCTGCTATGGCCTGGGAAAGCAGTGGAAGGTGGCCCGGGTCCTTGGCCCCTGCACCCATGTGGGAGACCCGGAAGAAGCTCCTGGCTCCTAGCTCCGGCCGTTGGGGCCATTTGGGGAGTGAACCAGCGAATGGAAGACCTCTCTCTCTCTCTCTCTCTGCCTCTCCTCTCTCTGTGTAACTCTGATTTTCAAATAAATAAATAAATCTTAAAAAGACAAAAGTATATGTTGAAAATGCTTCCTCCTGCTTTGTCCCCAGTTCAGCCAGCTGTCACTCACTTCTAGCAGGTAACAGTGGCCATGTTGCTTGTCTTGTCATGGGTTTTTGTAGTGCCGATATGAGAATATGAACGTAGTGTCCCCCCCTTTTTTAAAAAGATTTATTTTATTTATTTGAAAGACAGAGTTACACAGAGAAGTAGAGCCAGAAAGAGGTCTTCCATTCCGCTGGTTCACTCCCCAAATGACCATAACGGCCAGAGCTGAGCTGATCTGAAGCCAGGAGCCTCTTCCGGGTCTCCCAATTGGGCACAGGGGCCCAAAGACTTGGGTCATCTTCTACTGCTTTCCCAGGCCATTGCAGAGAGCTGGATCAGAAGTGGAACAGCCGGGAACCAAACCAGCACCCATATGAGATGCCGGTGCCACAGGCTGGGGCTTTAACCTGCTGTGCCACAGTGCCCCCCCCCCCCTTACTATATCAGAATAGCGCTATTCTACTTGTCGCTTTCCTCACTTAATCTGTCTTGGTAATCTTTCCATGTCAGAATATAAAGCCCTTCCCAATTCATTGCTTCCCATTCCTATTTTGAATGGGATTAAAATGGGATTTTACGGGATTAGTTCAGGTGCACAGGCAAATTGTGCAGAGAACACAGCTCCGCCCAGCTTCTGCTCCCCTTGGCATCTTGCATAACCACCGTACATCCGTCCGAGTGAACCACAGAGGTCCGTCTTCTCACAGTTCCAAAGCTTGGACGTCCAAGGTCAAGAGGCCACACGGTGAGTCTCGGGGCAGGTCTTCCTCTGCTGTGGGCCATCACTGCTCACCTGGCCTCTCCTCTGCGCCTGCGCTGGCGGGGGGCACAGAAGAGAAAGAGAGAGAGAGAGAGAGAGAATGCTTTAGATTCCCTTCTTATAAAGGTACCAACCCTGTGTGATCAGACATGACCTTCGACCTTTGTGTCCTCAAAGGCCCCATCTCCACCTGCAGCCGCACTGGGCTGTGGGCTTCAACACCCGGATTTTGGAAGGACGGAAACACTCAGTCCTTACAGTGCGCCACCACTACTTGAACTTGAGATGGTGTTTGGATTTCACCAGCTTCCCACTGGCGCCCCTCTCGGCCCCAAGATGCAAGCAGGACATCGCGCTGGAGTGAGTCCTCATTCCTTTTCATTTTATGCCTTTGAAGATTGATTTGTTTATCTATTTGCTTATTTACTTATTTGAAAGGCAGAGCGACAGAGAGACTGGGTGAGGCGGAGATCTTCTGCCCACTGATTCACTCCCTAAATTCCAAAACCAGGAGCCAGCAGCTCCATCCGGGTCCACCACATGAGTGCAGGGGCCCACGCACTGGGCCAGCCTCTGCTGCCCGCCCAGGTGCATTTGCAGGGAGCGGGATTGGAAGTGGAGCTGCTGGGACAGGACTCCAGCTGCTGTTCCAACATGGAATGCAGTGGTTTAGCTCACGTGGCCACAATGCCCTCCTCACCCCTCCCCTACATGCATTTTCACAGCTCCATACTGTGTAACCAATTTACTTAACAGTTCCCTATTGTTGGAGCTTTAGTTTTTATATCAGTTCTTTTCTGGTTGTAGCCATGTGTCAAGCAATAAGTCAGTTTGCACAGGTGGAAACATGTATCAATTCCTAATAGAGGAATTAGTGGGCCAAAAACAGTTATCTGTAATTTTTAAAATATGTATTTTTAATTAGTTTATTTGAAAGGCCAAGAAAGAGACTGACAGAGATCTTCTATCCACTGATTCACTCTCCAAATGCCTGCCACAGTTGCGGCTCGGGCCAGGCTGAAACCAAGAGCCGGGAACTCCAACCGTGTCTCCCAGGTGAGTGACAGCGACCCGAGCACTTGAGCCGTCACCTGCTGCCCCCCGGGGTGCAGGAGCCGCGTCTGGAGCAGAAGGCGAGGATTCGAGCCAGGTGCTGCAGTTTGGGATGGCTCTCCGGGGTCCGGTCTCAGCCACCTGCCCCCTGTCTCATTTACGTCTGGCGTTGGTATTGATGTTATGCTGACTTTTAAAGCTAACTGGGAAGTCTTTACAGGCGCAGCTTAAGTGGTGGTAGAGTGATTTTTTTTTTTTTTTTGACAGGCAGAGTGGACAGTGAGAGAGAGAGACAGAGAGAAAGGTCTTCCTTTGCCGTTGGTTCACCCTCCAATGGCTGCTGCGGCCGGCGCACCGCGCTGATCCGATGGCAGGAGCCAGGTGCTTCTCCTGGTCTCCCATGGGGTGCAGGGCCCAAGCACTTGGGCCATCCTCCACTGCCCTCCCTGGCCACAGCAGAGAGCTGGCCTGGAAGAGGGGCAACCGGGACAGAATCCGGCGCCCCGACCGGGACTAGAACCCGATGTGCCGGCGCCACAGGCGGAGGATTAGCCTAGTGAGCCGCGGCGCCAGCCGAACGATCTTTTTGTTTAAGGGCCTTGCCACATTCCCCGCTGAAACCATTTCTACCGGTGCTTTTGGAACACACACTTTGGGCAGCTTTCTTAGTTTTCCCAGAGAATCATCTGTTTGGATTTGCTGTCTCTTTCCACAATGTGTTTTCCCAGGAAGTGGTCCACCGTGGCCAGGTCTGCAAGTGGCACAGTCCCTGGTGCCTTCCGGCGCCTGTGCCCCCGCATCACCCGCATCACCCGCAGCGGTGTGCTGGCCACGCCTCCTTCCTGCTCGGGGTTGGCTTCCTTTGCTGAAGGGGCACCTCTGGGTTCATTCAGTCGCTCTGCTCGCCGGCTACTTTCTATCTTGCTGCTGTCCATTTGTATGCTTCAAAATCCCCCCCTCCATTTCCCCTTGATTTATGTCACGGGTTCTTTTTGAATTCCTGGACATTTCCTGCTTCTTGGTCTTGTTCACGGAGGGTGTGGGAGGGCGTCCGAGCTCACCCGGGGATGTGATGCGCTGTGTTCCCATCATTCTCCTTTAGGAGACATCCTCCCATCATGCCTTGCGCTTCCTCTGAGCCCCGGGAGCTGGTTGAGAAAGTCTCATTGTGAATCTCCCAGGGGCAGGTGTATGGCTCAGTCACGAAGGCGCTGCTGGGGCCCACTGCATCCTGGGAGCGCCTGGCTGCGGTCCTGGCTCCACCTCCGATTCCAGCTTCCCACTAGTGCACGCTCTGGGAGGCAGCGATGACGGCTCAAGTGCTGGGGTCCCTGCCCCTGACACGGGAAGACCCAGCTGGAGTTTCCAGCTCCTGGCTTTGGCTTGGCCCAGTCTCAGCTGTTGTGGGCATTTTGGAGAATGAACCAGTAGATGGAAGATCTCTCCCTCTCTCCCTTCTCCCTCCCTTTCAAAAACAACAACAACAACAACAAAAATACACAGTAGTTTCATCTCCTGGGGATGGGAGGTTGTCGTCTGTACGGCTTTCCCTTTGTGCCATGTCCTCATCGCTGCCGTGGGTCCGTGTCCGTGATGTCCCGCTGGCCCCGAGGACAGACTGTCACCTGTGTGGTGGCTTTGGAACTCAGGCTGTCTTTAGGGTTCTGATTGTCTGCATCTCACTTCTGCCTGTCCGATCTGCCGGGGAAGAGAAGGGTGACTAGCAGTGTCCCAGGCACCGCTATGCGACCCTGCGCTGGCTATCTTGACAGCTCAGTGCAGCAGGAACAGGATGCAGCCGACCTCGAAAGTGTTCAGGTGTGTGTGTGGGGGGGGGGATCTCGGGCTCACCCGCGTGCTGCACGCTTATCCCAGCACACCGACTATGGGACCTCCTGGCTGAGTTTCAGAAGGAAGAGCCAGGGCCCATCTCGCGCGGGCCGCTGGAAGACTGGCAGGTTGTATGGGGGAGAGCGGGAGCCCCGGCTGTGGGGGCTCCTGGTCAGCGACCTCCCCGCTGGCTGCCTTCATGCCTGTTCCTTGGCGTGTCCGGTGTCCTCCTCGGGCCCCACGCGTTTCCTGTTGAGTCTGTGTCAAGGGAATGTGCTGACATTAAGGAGGTTTTGTGCCACTGCGCTCTCCAGCTGCTGTCGCGAGGGTCATCCCGTAAACAGCATCCTCACTGTTCCTACGTGGTTCCCGAAGACGCCGACTTTTTATTAAAAAATGCCAAGAGGGGGGGTGTTCGGCCTGGTGTTTTAGCACCTGTGTCCCGCATGGGAGCGCCTGGCTCCAGCTTCCTGCTAATGCGCAGCCTGGGAGACAGCAGTGATGGTTCAGGGGACCGGTCCTGGCCAGCCATGGGAGAGAGCCTGGATTGAATTCCCCATGCCCGGCTCTGGCCAGGTCCAGCTCCAGCTGTCATGGGCACTTGGGGACTTTCTCTCTCTCAAATAAATTAGTAAGTCTCCTCCTTTCTTTTTTAAAGATTGATTGATTGATTTGAAAGGCAGAGTTATAGCAAGAGAGGGAGAGACACACAGAGAGGGGTCTTCCATCCACTGGTTCATTCCCCAGATGGCTGAAATGGCTGGGTCTGTGCCAGGCCAAAGCCAGGAGCTTCTTCCTGGCCTCCCATGAGGGTGGCAGGGGCACAAGGACTTGGGCCATCCTCCACTGCTTTCCCAGGCCGTAGCAGAGAGCTGGATCAGAAGTGGAGCAACTGGGACTTGAACTGGCGCCCATATGGAATGCCGGCACTGCAGGAGGCAGCTTTTTTTTTTTTTTTTTTTTTTTGGACAGGCAGAGTGGACAGTGAGAGAGAGAGACAGAGAGAAAGGTCTTCCTTTGCCATTCGTTCACCCTCCAATGGCCACCGCTGCAGCCGGCGCACCGCGCTGATCCGATGGCAGGAGCCAGGTGCTTTTCCTGGTCTCCCATGGGGTGCAGGGCCCAAGCACCTGGGCCATCCTCCACTGCACTCCCTGGCCACAGCAGAGAGCTGGCCTGGAAGAGGGGCAACCGGGACAGAATCCGGCGCCCCAACCGGGACTAGAACCCGGTGTGCCGGCGCCGCTAGGCGGAGGATTAGCCTAGTGAGCCGCGGCGACGGCAAGGAGGCAGCTTTAACGGCTACACCACAGCACTGCCTTTAAAGCTGTCCTGAGCTGGTTTTTGGGAGGCTGCTTTTCAAAGCCCTTTTGATTGGTTGAATTTGTGATGAGTGGCAGGTAGAGACGGATCAGGTGACCTCATGGTGGGGATGGAAGCAACCTGCAGCCTCAGGCAGCCTGCTGGCGACTCAGCGGCCAGCGGCGCCCGGGTGGCCAGGAGCTGAGGGACGGGGAAGCCACGTGAGCCACACTCCATGCCACGGCGCGTCACTGGGATGAAGCACTGGTGCCTCTGCTCGTGGATGGGTCCTGGAGAGACGCTGCGTGGGGAAGCCGGCACCAGGGCTGCGTGGCACAGGGCTTCGCTTCCGTGGGAGCTCCCAGACAGGCGAATCTACCGGACGGAGGCGGGTTAGTGGTTGCCGCGGCGTGGAGAGCGTGGGGCACTGGGGCTCCGTGCCCGAGGTGTGATTGCCACGCGGCCCAGGGTTGTGGCGCAGTGGGCGCAGCTGCCTCTTGCGATGCTGGCACGCCATCTTGGGGACGGGTTCCGGTCCAGCTGCTCTGCTTTTCTGATCCAGCTCCCTGCTCGTGCACCTGGGAAAGCAGCGGGAGGTGGTGTAAGGACTTGGGCCCCCGCACCCACGAGGGAGGCCCAGGCGGATTCCTGGCTCCTGGCTCTGGCCTACTCCTGCCCTGGCTGTTGCGGCCACTTGGGGAGTGATCCAGTGAGTGGAAGACCTCTCTCTCCCTCTCTCTCCTTCTCTCTCCCTCTCTCTCTTTTCTCTCTTTCCCTTTTTTCTCTCTCTCCCTCTCTCTCTGTCACTATGCCTTTCTAATAAATAAATCTTTAAAAAATTGTGCTGATGGCTGCCCAGTGCACTGAACATACCATTCAGCTGTACGCTTAATCAACGAAGTCTGTAATTTGTGAGTAATATCTCAGTCAGGCTGTTAGACAATCCACACGGGCCGGCATTTGGCACGCGGCTCAGACCCTGGCGAGGCGTCCGTATCCCAGATCAGATGCCTGCGTTCAAGTCCCTGTTCGGCTCCTGATTCCAGCTTCCCGCCAGCTCAGCAGTGGTGGTTCAAGTACTGGGAGACCCGGATTGAGTTTGAGCTCCCAGCTTCTTCCCCAGGGGCGTGCACTGGCAGAAAAAAATAAAACAATGCAAACGTTTTTAAAAAATGAAAGGTGATTCACAAGCGTCACTCGTTCACCACACGTCCGCTGTCTGTTCACTACCAGGTGGTGGGGCACAGCACCAAGACAGGACAAACCCGGATCCAGGATTCCGGGGCACCTGAGCCGCGAGCTGAGCGCTGTTCTGTATCCTCGGAAGGAAGTCTCTCCGAGACCATCAGGGAGTCTGCTGGTCCCTACTCGCGTTGCTCGAAGACCCGCCGTGCGCAGAGCACGGTCCCCTTCAACAAAATCCTCCGTGAGTGGCCATTCGCAGGGTCCACTGAGTTTGTGAAGGGTGGCTCCAGAGTGCAGCCTTTTATCCAAGGCAGGAAGCCGGCCCCCGCGGCCCCAGGTCCCTGAGGCCCCCAGGCCAACCCTCTAGAAACTGTTTTCCTCGTCTCCTTTCCAGGTGAAGTCACTTCCCCAGGTGCTTCTCCTGGTCTCCCACGCGGGTGCAGGGACCCAAGGACGTGGGCCATCCTCCACTGCCTTCCCGGGCCACAGCAGAGAGCTGGTTCGGAAGTGGAGCAGCCGGGACTAGAACCGGCGTCCAGATGGGATGCCGGCGCTGCAGGCGGTGGCTTCATCTGCCGTCGCTGCCTGACGACTTCCTGCGGGGAGGACTCACTGCCGCTGTACTGTGCCCTTGGAGTCCCTTCCTTCCGGCCCGCCCACGTCGGTGCAGGGGTCTAAGGCCTCGGGCCGTCCTCTGTGCCTCCCCAGGCAGGTGGATTAGCAGAGAGTTGGATTGGAAGCGCAAGAGCGGGGCTTGAACTAGCGCCCCTGCGGGCCGGCGGCGGCCTAAGTGGGGCGTAACCCGCCGCGCCGCAGCGCCGGCCCCTCGGTGGCTGTTTGCTTTTCTCATTTGCTCCATCTCCGACCTCTGATAGGTCAGGCTGCTCTCCTACTGCTGACGGCGCTCAAATCATCAGTCGCCTCCTCTCGGGAGACCCGCAGGGGTCAGCCCACGGGCGCGGGGAGGGTGCGGGTCAGCACGGGTCCAGCAGGGGGCGAGCCCGAGGCCGCTGGAGCAGCCGCGGCGAGGACGGCCCCGCCCGGGCCGCTCTGGGTGCGCCGGCTGCTCGCGGCTCTTTGTCTTCCGCGGTCGCTTGCGCTCGGTCCTCGGGACCCGGCTTCGGAGAATCCGAGCTTTCTCCCGGGGAGACCGGCTCCAGCCCCTTCAAGCCGGGGTCGCGGGGCGCGGCCGGAGCTGTCGTTCGTCTCCACCAATGCCGCGGGACGCGCGGGCGGGGCAAGGGCCGGGCTTCCCACCTGCTCGGCTGGCCACTGCCTGCCCCTGGGCCTTGTCCGCCGGCCACACACACACCTGCTCTGAGCGACTCCTGTAGGCTCCGATCCGCCCCAGGCACAGGGAGGTGAAGTCACTCCCCCCAGGTCACACAGCTCGCAGGTGGAGCCCGGGCCTGACCGACCCTGTGCAGGAGCCACTCCCAAAGCCCCCTTCCCACCCTCCGTGCCCAGAAGGGACCACCCCGTGCCAGGGGACACGTGTGTCACACGTGTCTGCCCACAGGTGAATGCGCAGTTCCGGCTTCTCAGCAGGTGTATCTCATTACCTTCAGTTGCACGCCAGGGCGATTTTTAAAGAGCCTGCGTGGGAGCGGGCGTTGTCCGAGACCCGCCGTGTTGGAGGGCCTGGGTGCAACGCCGGCTTCCTGGGTATGCACACCCTGGGAGACAACAGCGGAGGGCTCAAGGGCTTGGGTCCCTGCCACCCACACAGGAGACCTCGATGGAGTCTCCAGCTCCTGGCTGTGGCCCAGCACTGGCTGTTGCTGGCGTTTGGGGGGTGACCCAATGGATGGAAAATCTCACTCCCTTTCAAATAACAATAATAATAAAGTAAATATTAAAATCCCCTGTTTGCGTGAACTGTTGAAAGCAAGGTCTCCCAATATCCTTATTAAGGAAAATGCACTCGGGCCAGGGTCCCGGCTAGTGGGTTAAGTCCCCTGTGATGCTGGCATCCCATGTGAGTGCCGGTTTGAGTCTCGGCTGCTCTGCTTCCGATCCAGCTCCCTGCTGCTGCGCCTGGGAAGGCAGTGGAAGATGGCCCAGTGCTTGGACCCCTGCCACCCCCATGGAGAACCTGATGGAGTTCCAGAATCCTGCCTTTGGCCTGGCTCGGCCCTGGCCATGGCACCCATCTGGGGAGTGAACCAGTGCATGGGTGCTCTCTCTCTCCCTCTCTCTGCCTTTCACACAGATGTATTTTGAAGACAATGCATTAAGAACTTTTGTTGTCATCGCCCTGCTAAATTCCAGTGCATTTGCTTTTGGCCGTGGTTACACCCAGAGACCCCTCCCAGCCTTCTGCTTGCTGGGGCTGGAGCTGCAGGGCTCACACAGGACAGCGTGGCCTACGTGAGACCTACCATTCACAGTGCTGCTCCCGGCCTGCGGCGCCTCACCACGCACTGACCACACCCCGCCAGTGGGTGGCGCTATACTTCCTACATCCAGGAAGGGCCCTGGCCCCCTGCCGCCGGCCCCCGAGGGCCCGCCCCGGGACAACCAGGTGTCCAGCGCCTCAGTCTACAGCACGCGGTCTCCCCTAGGCTGTGGAACTGTTTTCTGACACGTTCTGACCCACTCGGTGCCATGGAACGGGGCCTCTGGGTTCAAGGTCAACATCTCCACTTCACAGGTATGTTTGTGGGCCTGGGCCAGCCACAGGGCTGTCTGTGCAGCGGTAAAACTGGAAACCAGCCCACAGCTCCTTCGCGGCCACCCCTAGAACCACGAGCCTCCTGAGCTCACCTGGCTGGGGGTACAGGGCCTTGACTCACACAGGTACATTCTCACCTGCTCCCCTGCGCAACTGGGGTGGGGCCAGAGGATGCTGCCCCGCCCCCGCGGGCCACAGAGCTGTGTCCCAAGTTGTGCCAGCAGCCCCCACCCCCCAAGGGTTCCCATTTTGGACACGGCTGGTGCCCCAGGGGGTTTGGCAAGGGGAGGGGCCTGTAGTGCTGAGAGGCCAGGTTCAGCGGGAAGCAGGGGAGAGAAGCAGAGACACACATGTCAGTTGCGGGCAGGAGACACTGCCTCCCCCACCCAGGGCTCCCCTCTCGCTCCTCCAGGGCCGGGTGACCGCAGCTCTGGAGCTCAAGGCTGACCCCGGCGGAGCCGATGCCCCTCGGCCCCTCGGCCCCCTGCCTGCAGAGTTCTGGCTTGCGGGGGCCTCACTGTGCAAAGCAGAGCGGGTGGCGAGAAACCCATCAAGTTCCCGCGAGAATCGAGAATTGTCCTGGCTGCTTCCTGTTGTCACTTGGGTTTGAAAACTGTGCCACAGAAAAGGGTTTTGAAAAACCTGGCTTGCGCTACGCGATGAAGCTGGGCTCCGTCTGGATTGTTTCCCTGGTGAGGAGCAGGCACGAAAGCCCCGTGGCCGGTGTGGGTTTACTGAGCACCTGCTAGGCGCACAGGCTGCCCCAGGATGGCAGAGCCCCCACCTGTGTGCCCCAAGTGCTGCACCCCCCCCCCGCCCCGCTCCCTGGGTTCTCACCCTGGGCGTGGCTTCTGCTGGACAGTGGGGCCAGAAAGGTGGGTCCGGGGCGTGGCTTCTGAACCTCATTTAGTGGGCACTGGGGAGCCACAGGAGAATGAGGAGGGGAGACGGCTGGAATGTGCTTTGGGGGAGGCAGTGGACAGCGCAGAAGGGTCTTGGCACAGGGCTGGGGGCATCGTGCATCAGCCACGGCCATGGCCGCAGAGGCCTTGGGGCAAGGCTGGGCTGGGCTGGGGGTCTTACAGCTCCCAGAGCCAAGGCCACACTCCTGACCAGTGAGGCCAGTGACTGGGGTGGAGGCTGGGCGTATCTTCTGGAAGTTTCCAGCGTGCAACCAAGTGTGGGAGCCATGGCTGGCCTAGAGTCTCGAGGGCTTGGCAGAGCTGGCTTTGAAAAGCCGCAGATAGGCAACCTGGGGTGGCTGGAGGCGAAACCAGGCTGCGTGGGGGTTGCTGGGGCGTGGCGCTGCTACCCTCGCGGCTTCCCCAGCCCCGGCCCCTCGCCTGGACCGAGCTGCGGCCCGCAGAGCTGGAGGCGGGCGCTGCAGCCGTGCTTGGGCGCCAGAGGGAGCTCGCGGGGACGCGCCACGGCGCCATCCTCGCAGCTGGTTCAAACTGGTTTGGGCAGGGTGCGGCCTGGCAGGGCTGCATTCCAGGCCTCGGGCTGGCCGCCTGGCCCAGGGCCTCCCCCAGGGCCGGGACCCAGCGCCGGAACCTCCTGGGGGCAGGGCTCTGGGGCGGGAGCCAGCACCCCCGAGAGCCTGGGGGGGAAGGCTTGCAGATCCGGTAGCCTTTGTTTAGAACCGCTTGTCCGCCTGCCCCGGATCGCCGGCGAGGCCCGCAGCCCGGGCAGCCCTGGCTCGGGGCTCTGCTCCGCCTCGCGGGGCTTGTGAGCCTGCGGGCCCCGTTCAGGGAGTTGGCGGCAGGGCCCAGGCATCTGCACTCTAAGTCGCGCACACAGAACAGGGCTGGCGCCTCAGGCCTGCAGCTCGGCCCGAGCCCTCGCTGGGACGCTGGCCACGGAGGAGACCCCTCCCCAGACCCTGCGCCCGCCCCCGTAACCAGGGCTACCGGAGTCACCCGGAGCATTCAAAAGGGCTACTGCGTGAATGCCACAGCCACCACCAACCGAACCCCTCCGTTGCCCTCCCCACTCGCCTCTCGCCCACCCCGAGTGGGCGCGCGCCTCCCCGCGAGCCCGTGTTCTTTCACCCCGCAGTGCGCTGCGTGGACGTGCGAGCTGCGTGGACGGCCGCGCGCCCTGCCCCTCCGCATGCGCCCCCGAGGCTTCTTCGCGGGAATCCGCAGTGTTCAGAAGACTGGGCCCCCCTGAGGCCCTCCTGGAGGCGGCCCCCAGCCTGCAGGCAGGGGTGAGGGTCTGGGCGGGGCTCGCGTGCGCGTGCGTGACGCACGGGCGGCTCCTGCCCTGGAAAGTCACGGCCAGGATGCAGGGCCAACCAAGGGTGGCCTCGGTGCGCACCTGTAAAACCCTGAGACCAATTGGCAAATGGGCAAGAATTTTCCAGAAAATGGTTCCAACCTGGAGCTGTGAATGTTTGTGTGGGGCCGTGGAGAAAGCAGCGAGGCGTCGATTCGCAGGTGGGACTTGTGCGGGGGTGGGGTGGGGGAGTACCCCAGGAAGGCGGGGATTCAGATGGGCTTGCCAGATGCGATATAATTTCACATTTAAAGGGCGGAGGGGGAGATCCGATGTATTAATTTGCGATCCTAAGACTAGCTGGCTTTTAAAGCAAATCTACCATTATAAAGAAGTCATCTTAGGAAAAAAGTCAAACCCCTAGACGTTCCTGTATCGATTTAGCATTTGGGTGTTTTCCTTGTTAGTGTTGCTGGGGGGCCAGGGAGGGGGACTGTGGGTTAAGACCGCCCCTAGGGCATGGGGAGTTCAACTTCAGTGCGCTTAAGAATTCCTTGTTGTTGGTGGGGGGTGATTTTAAAAGTTGCGGGGGGGGGGGATGGACACAGCCAGCTTCCCTAATCCCCAGGACTTTCCACCTGGCTCCAGTGGCTGAAGGAGGTCGGTCCGGAGCGTGAGGGCGGGGCAGCTCGGCCAGCGTCTCTATCCTGCATGCCCGTTGGAGTCACCTGGGGATTAAAAGCTGCAGGTGCCCAAACCCTACCTGCAGGGATTCTGATGTGACGCGCCCGGCGTGAGGCCCGCTTTCCGGGCTTTTAGAAGCTCCTTGGGGCTCTAATGTGCAGCTCTGGCTGGAGACCCTTCTATCCGATCTTTTTGGAAAGCGGTGGTCTACACCGAGGGTCTCAAATCGAGCCGTATGTTGGGGTCACCTGGCGAGCTTCCTAGACACACGACCCTCGGATCTCAACCCCAGAGACAGGGTCTGGCCCGGGTTTGCAGAGTTTTTGAAAGAGCCCCAGGTGACTGCAATCTGCAATCCGGCCCGCGAGCCTCAGGTTGACCAGGTGGTGCGGGGACAGGCGCAGTGCGAGCCGCGAGCCACTGGGTGGCGCTGCCCGCTCGGCCCGGCGCTCGCGGACTCGCGGCGGCCGCGGCCGGGCGCGCACCTGCCCCGCCTCCGCCGGCCGGCAGCGGGGCATGCAGCGGGCCGGGGGCGGGGTTCTGCGGCCCGAGAGCGGGCACGGGCTCCCGGACAGCCCCCGCCGGCCAGACCCCGCCGCCCTCCTGATGCTGCTCCTGGACGCCGAGCCGCCGGAGCCCGTGCGCAGCGGGGCGCGCGAGCTCGCGCTCTTCCTGACCCCCGAGCCCGGGGCAGAGGTAGGGGACGCGGGCGTGGAGGTGGGGGCGGGGGTCTCGAGTTGGGCGACCCTGGGCTCCCCGGCAGCATCCCCTCCTTTCGGGAGCGGTGGCTGCCTGGCGCCACCCAGAGATGCGCCGCGAGTCCCCTGCCCCCTCCGCGGGCCACCGGAGGCCCGGACTCCCTGCCATCCTCACCCGGGCCCCCCGGCATCCGCCGAGACGCCGGGCCGCGGCGCGCTCCGAGCTGCCGCGCTGAGCCAGCCTGGCTGGGCCTTGGGCTGGGAGCGCGCCGCGGCCCCTGTCCCCCGAGCGGGGCCCGGAGTCGCAGCGGCCGCCGGCTGCGTGGTGCCGGGAGCCCCGAGGTCGCCGTCGGCTGCGGTTGCTAGGAGGAAGACGACAGCTCGCTTCTGCCTGCGCTTTCTATTTTAAAAACACACAACACAAAGTCGCCGCGGCATCAGCCCCTTCCCTCCCAGCAGGCTGGGGAGGGTGCGAGGCGGGGGGTTCCTCCCCCAAGTTCACGCGCGGCTTTTTCTAAGCAACACAATTTCGTTTGCAATCGCAAGAGCGGTGGGGAAGGGCCGGAGGTCAGGAGAGAGCACCCTGCGGCCGGCGCCCGGTTCCGGAGCCCCTCGGAGCCCCTCGCTTGACTCTGCGGCCCGGAGCCCCCGCCCGAGGCTGTCCGGGGTTGCGGGGGGTGGGCGTGATGGAGCGCGGGGCCGCTTTTCCTGGTGATGAAAACGCTCTGGGATCAGACGCGGCGGTGTTGGCGCAACTTTGTGAGTAGGCGGGAAGCCGTGGCCTGTGCCCTTTAAGAGGGTGGATCCTGTGGTCTGTGTGTGACAGCTTCATTGAGACCGGAGGGGCCCGCGCCCATCTGTAAGAAGCATCCTGCAGAAACAGAAAGTGAGCCACAAATGTGACTTACATCTTAATGTTTTAAACAGATTTGAAAGGCAGAGAGAGAGAGAGAGAGAAAGAGAAAGAGAAACAGACAGATCTCTCTGCTGGTTCACTCCCTAAGGGCTGGGGCCGGGGCCAGGCCAAAGCCAGGAGCCTGGAATTCCCTCTGGGTCTCCCACGCGGGTGCAGGGGCCCAAGCACTTGGGCCCTCACCCACTGCTTTCCCAGACGCATTAGCAGGGAGCTGGATTGGAAGTGGAGCAGTCGGGACTCGAACCAGCGGCCATATGGGATGCCGGCACTGCAGGCGGCGGCTCTACCCGCGGCTCCACACGAGGCCCCTGAGTTATGGAGTTGTAAGTGGTTTGGGAATCCTATGAACAAGGGACAGGTGAAACTGATGCCAGGGCATCCAAGGTGACAGTGCACCTACGACAGTTCAGCGTGGGTCGGACGTGGACGTGAGGTGCATTTCCGCCGCTTGTCTCTGTGCCGTTTTCCAAGCCAGGCGTTGGGTCTTGAGCTGCCCCGGCCACACGCGCAGAGCTGCGTAGTCCCGTGGGGCTGCTGGCCTCTGTGTGTCCTGGACAGCCTCATTGCCCATCCTTTGGCTTCCTGGGGGCCCAGGAGGAGCTCACAGTCGCCCTGTTTCCTGCACCCACGCCGTGCCGGCACGCACCGTCCTGTTCACGGATTGTGCCGCTGTGCCGTGGCCGTGCGCAGGATGGGAGGCACCCAGGTCAGTGTGAGGTCGCACAGGTGCACTGTGACCCACAGACCATTCGCAAGGGGCTCGGGCCGCTCGCCTTCCCACACGGGGGGACGCTGCACCCCCACGCGTGCCGAGGGTCCCCGGGCTGGGGGGTGGGGCGTGTGTGCTTTTCCGCTGATGGAAGCATCCCGAGTGAGTCTCTCCTCCTGGCCGTGGAGCTCAGCTGAGAGAAGTCGCTGTGCCCCGCGGCTCCACCCCGGCTGCCTTTCCTCCGTGCTGGGGACTGCGTGCGTTCACGTCGGTTCCTCGGGGCGCAGCTCCCTGTGCGGCAAACCCCTCGCACCCTTGCTGGAGGCTGGTGAGCAGGAGAAATGCTCTGTGTCAGAGCGCTCAGCTGTGGCCGCTACTCAGCGCGGGACTCATTCGCAGTCTCCAGCCCGAGCTGTCCCGGGCGGGCAGAGGAGCAGGAGAAGCCCAGGCCTTCTCCCGGGCCCCCTTTGCCTTCCGGTGGGGCAGCCAAGCCCAGCTCCGGGTTGTCCTGGCACCTGCTGCATGCAACTCCTTGAGTCCCCTGTGTGTGCAGGGCCCAGCTGGGGACTCAGTGACACACAGCCCCCTGCCCTCGTGGCATCGGCAGACGACAGGCAGCCTCTAGGTTGCAGTAGTGCCAGGGAGCACCCAGCACGGGGCACCAGTGTGTGTGCCTGGAGCTGAGTGGTCCTGTCCAGGTGTGAGCACGGAGGGCTTCCCTGAGGCAGTGTCATTTTCAGGGGAGCCCGGAAGCATGACTAAGAGTTGGCCTGCGGAGGAGACGATATTCCAGGCGGGGGGAGAAGCCCTTGCAAAGGCCCTGGGGTGTCCTTGCGGGTAGAGAGAAGAGCTCTTGGCTGGGAGAAGGGGAGCACGGCGGACGTGACCAGTGGGGGGGCCGGAAGCCGTGCCAGGGCTCGGGCCTGCCGTCCCCGGGCCGCAGCCCTGCTGGAGGGCTGTGCGCCGGGCGGGCTGGCTGGCAGGTGGGTTCCTATTTCCAGTGCCTCTGTTTCTGTCTGACCAATTTTCCCTCTCGCTCTCGCTCTCAGTTCCTCTTCCGGGGCAGTCTCAGGGGACGTCCCGGAAGCTGCTTTGTGACGGTGATGGCAGGGACCGAGCTGTCCTGTGACTTCACAGGGCCTGGAGCTCAAGCCCCCTGTGTGGCTCGGCGGGGAGGCCACCCATGGGGCGTTCCTGACCCGGCTCCTCCAGAATCCCGTTCGATCGATTGGTTCTTGAGCTGGAACCTGGGACAGGGGTGGCCCGCGGGCAGGGCCGGGGCTGGGTGCTTTCTCTTGAGTAGGCAGAGCTGGGGCAGCTCCGGGCCTCCCGGCCACACCCGCTCAGCTCCTGCCTGCAGATGCTGGCCAGAGCGTGTCTGATAGGCAGGGTTTGGAAAACAGATTTTTCTTGGGAAAATGTGAGGTTCTTGTATATTTTTTTAAAAAATTGGTAATGCTAGGTCCATATTCCATGGCTGTGGCCCTGTTTGCCACAGTCCCCAGTCTTCCCTATTGTCTCACACATAAGCCAGCAACAGTGAGCATTCACCCTGTGCTGGAAGTTGTGATTTTCTGTGGTCAGGATGAGAAGAAAGGAAATTGTTTCTCCAGACCATGTCTCCGGACAAAAAGAGGAAGACGTGGCTTAGCCACGGATGGTCTCGAGTTTCAGGAAGCATCCGGGGGAGCCGGGACTGTCCTGTGGTGTCCGACCCGGCCCCACCGTGGAGAGGCTGGCACGTGCCCCACCCCGGGACCGCTGGGCCCCTGCGGGCATTCGGGTTTGGGCGGTGGCTCAGCGTGTGTGGGGGCGCTGGGCGAGTCCGTATCCGCTGGTTCCGCGAGTTCTCGGGCTGCCCTGTCCTGTGCTGGGCACCTGAGGGCCGGCGAGGCAGGCGGGGCCCCGGCTGCAAGGACCAGGGTTGTGCTGGGCAGCAGGGCAGAGTTGGTTCTCCGTGCCCGAGGGTTCCACGTCCGAGGACT